GCCCTTTCTTTTGAGGACGACTCTGCCCCGGGTCCTGATGTGGAGGTTCCTGGGGCGGGGAAGGGGTTGACTTAGGGAGATTAGGCCATGTTTGAGCCCGACTGGGTACTGGTACCCTCTGAGTGGGGCTTGTTGTTGCAGGGAGTGGGGTTTTCTTATCCCCTCCTCCTTGTACGAGTTTGATATGGCGTCGACCCCTCCCTGGGTTTGGTTCCAGGTTCCCCTGGGTACTTTGGTTCCTTCTTTCCGGAGGTTTTTGGCCTCTTGCATCCCTCCGCATGAGGTTCTGGAACTTACTTACCTCTTGCTCGACCCGGTTATGCTTCAATAATGGATCCTGCCTCTTTCAAGTTTGGTTCTTCTTTTCCTTACTGGGTTCGTTACAAAGTTCCGGAGTCATCCTGGTTGGCAGACTGTCCAATCTTTTTGTTGGGGGCGTGGCATACGTTCTGTCGGTCCCATACCTTCGAGGGGTGAGTTTGAGGGCCTCAATGCATGTTTGTTTGCCCCTGCCTTTCCTCGGGATGTTAGCCTTGTTCAGCTTCATGTGCAGGTTCCCTCCTTTTCAGCTGCCCTGGTCACTGAGGACTTACGAGCCTGTGGCCATTTGGCTTCAGTCTTGCGTTTCTTTTCCCATCTCGAGCTGTCTTTGGACTGACTTGAGGAGGATGTAGAGACACTTGGGACCGGTCCTGGGTCTAGTGCACTGGTCTCAGTGGTGCGGGCGTTGGCTGCTCTGTTGAAGCTGTTTGTGCTGATCCTGCTGGAGGCAGTGTCTCTATTCTTTGCTTGTCGTCTCGCATACCAGCAGGCTGTGCTCACTCAATCTGTGGAATATAAGGCCCTGTCTCTTAGATTTTCTACACCTTTTGGTCCTTTGCTGTTTGCAGTCTGTGGTGGTGTAGTATCTGCAAGCGACCTCTTCTAGTTGTCGTCCCATGTTGGACTTGTTGGTTCTCCAGGAAGCCCACAGGAAAAGGGGGGGGGGGTCTTCCTGGAAGGATCATGCCAGGGCTTGGGGTTCTTCCTGTCATAGTAGGCCAGTGGGGCCAGTTTCGGAGCCGGCGCAGCCTTCAGAACCAATGACGACTGGCCGGCAAGGTGATCGCTCTGCTCGTAAGTCTGCTTCTCTTAAGGGGCGACGGCCCTTTTGCTGTTCATCCCATTGATGGTGGGAGATTCGCTCTGTTTGCTCATGCCTGGTTCCACGATTCATGGGCATTTTAGGTCATTTCTTGCGGTCTGCAGTGGCATTCGGTTGCCCTTCCTCCTCCTTCCTGGGGTTCAGGGGGGGGGGGCTTCTTCTTCTCCTGTACTCAGTCATATTGGAGTGGGTTTGCTTGGGAGTGGTCGAAACGACCTTGTCCCTCAGGTGGGTTCCCCTCTGTTTCCGGTTCCAAGATGGAACTGTGCAGACCTGTGGATTAATCTGGACTTATCCTGTCTGAACCCTTGGGCCTATTGCCTCTTCTTTCAGATAACTACTCTGTCCCAGGTCTGTCTTCTATTGGAGCTGGGCGCTTGGATGGTGTCCCTGGACCTCTGGGACGCGCACTGGCACATCCCGATTCATCCAGGGTTCAAGGACTGGCTAGGTTTTGTTGTGGGGTGTCAGGCTTACCAATATTTGTTACCTTCCATTCGACTTAAATTTTGCACCTCACATGTTCACATGCCTTACCCGGGTCATGGTGGCCCGTTTGTATCTGTTAGGCTAACTACAGTGCTAACTAGTTTTTTTTCTCTCTCTCTCTCTCTCTCCACCCCCCTTTTCCAGGAAGCAGCCTGTAACAGCTGTCTAACTCTCAGTTATCTGTTTACTGCTAGGTAACAGGGGCATCAGGGTGAAAGAAACTCTGTTCATCTGTTTCCGCTGGCGATGGAAATAGAACCCCGGTCCACAGGACTATGTATCCAGCATGCTGTTCACTCAGCCACCAGTGCTCTTAGGGACTCTCGGGACATGTGGGACTTTCGAACCGCTTCCTTGTCTCTCCCTCCAGCGGCTCTGCTGCGGCTTCGATCCCACTTTCGCCTATTTTTGTGGGGCTCCTGGGTCAGGAGGCAGTTGCTTGAGGGTTTGTGCAGGAGTCTGAACTTTGCTGTGATAGTCTACCTGCCCAATCAGGTTTGGCTTCATTGGCTGTTCTGGTTCCTTCAGGAATGTCCCTTCCACTTCTCTCGCAATTGTTGAGTTCGGCCTTCTGGCGCCTTACGTCAGCTGCTGCATTGCCGGCTTCCTCTTAGGATTTTTCAGGGTTCAGTGCCTTGGCACCTACCCTCACCCTCACTTGATGCGTTCATGGACATGTCATCTCTTGGCTGGGACTTTGTGACCTGTGCTCACCAGGCCAGCCAGAGGCGGTGGGGTCTATCCTTCTGTCGGGCCCACAGCATGGTGCAGGAGTTCAAGGCAGGCTCTTCGGAGTGTTCGGGTCACTCACGGATCAACAATCTGGCTCCATTCGAACTGCTCCCTGGTGGTTCATTGTCTGAACCCCGGGATTCGATGCGGTTCTTCGTTCTTTGGGACTGGACACTTTGGGTGACTCGTCTGCTGAGTTCTCTGGATTTAGCTATCATGTCGATTCATGTATGGGGGAGTTTCCATCATCATGGCTGACAGCCTGTCTTGGTTCGTTTCCCAGTCCACGGAATAGATGGTCGATGCCGACTCGTTCAGTTGGTTTTGCCGGACGTACGATCTGCTGGAGGTGGACCTCTTAGTGTTGGCGTGGTTGAGGCGTCTTCCAATTTATGTGGCGCCCTTCCTCGACTGCAAGGAAGTCGATCAGGGTTGATGCCTTCAGGCAGGACTGGTCGAGGTGGGGTTACCTATAACTCTTACCCCCGATTCTGCTGTTGCTCTAGGTCCTAGCTCGCTTGGAGACTTACCAGGGAAGAGTTTTCCTCTTGGCTCCTCCTTTTAGGCGCTGCTTGCTCGGTATCCAAACCCGGGGGTCTTCCCGTCACTCCACCTCTTTCAGCAGATCACTCCGGTACGTTACGTAGCTGATTCGATTGCCTCCTTAAGTCTTCGCTTCTGGTCTTTCTGATGCGGGTCTATCACCATTTGTATGGTGAGCAGGTGGCTTCATTGGTGATGTCCCACTTGTGTGTCTCGTCTCGGCGGCAGTATGAAGTTTCCTGGCGGTTCTTTCAGTATTTCTTGTCTCTTTGTAAGGTTTTCTTCTGTTTCGGATCAGGTTGTCTTGTCCTTCCTGTCTTGGTTATTCCAGGACTGTCGTCTTATGCTGAATACTGTCGCTTTGTATTATGCGGTGCTGGCGGAGCCTCTTCAGCTTGCGTTTGGGGTGAATGTTACTTCTGCTCCATTTCACAAGCTATCTCATGCATTGTTTCACCTCCAGCCTGCTCATGTGCCACCTGAGCTGTCCTAGTCATTGGACTGGGTGCTCTCTTTTCTATCTTCGTCCTTGGTTTGTTGTGGCCTCTTTAGTTCAAGATTGTTGTGCGAAGGCTCTTTTCCCGTTGACATTGGCCTCTGGTGGTCAGGTTGGGAGCTTCATGCTCTCCTCCGGCACAGGGGGTTTTTGCTCTTTTGGTCCTGGTGGTAGGTTTGTTCATTTGCAGCCGTCTCCTTCTTTTCTGACGAAAAATACGACTGCTGCTTTCCGGAGGTGTCCTTGGGTTGTTGATGCTTGGTTGGTTCGGCTGGGGATGCATCATGTGTTCTGTCTGGTTGCAACTCTTGACCGTTACCTGCGCACCATGGCCTTGGTGGCCAGGGACGCGCTTTGGGTTGACCCAGTTTCCCTTCCTCCCTGTTCCAGGGCTCGGGTCTACCAGGTCGTCCGCAGGGATATTCGGTCCAGCCAGCCTGCGATCTATCCTTGTGCCCATGGCGTTTGTAAGTTTATTGCTTTGGCTGCTGTCTTTGGTAACATGTCTTGAGCTGACATTCGGGAATGGGGATTTTGAAAGTCAAAAAGGGTTCTGGCCTCTCGCTACCTTGTCAATGTTCCTGGCCCTGGTAAGTCATGTGTCGCATTGGGTCGGCAGTTGCAGCCAGTTGTCTTGACTTCGTGTTGAGGATCGAGTGGTGACCACCTCCTGGATAAGTCCCTCCTGTTTTTCCTCTTTGGTTAAGTAGCTCTGGGAAGTCATAGGGGCTTTCCCCAGAAAACCAGCATTGAATGTACCCGTGCTCCTTTTTTGGATGAGACCAGGAGGCGCCCCAGCAACCCTCCCTCGCTCCGGTCAGCGGTTTTTATGGATTTTTTGACACCCAACCTCAGAATTAATTGGTTGGATAGCCGGCATGGGAGGTCTGGGGCTTCCCCTTCCCCCTCCAGGGGAGGAGGGAGCTTCTCAGACAGCGGCGCAGTGATGTCATATCTCGTTTGCTTGTTTTTTCATTTGGGGGAGTTCTGTCCAACAGTTCGGCTTTCATTTGCAATATTTTAACCAGATATAGTTTGTTTTGGGGCGCCTACCTTTCTGGGTTCCTGACCCCGATCGATGGCAGACATGGAATGCTTCCAAGCACATGGGGGTTTCTATAGGCCATTGCTCCTCGTGCCTCTTCGAGGGGGGCTATGTTCTGGCTCGTGATCCCCGGTAGGCCTAGAACTCCATTTGCTTGACTGATACCAGGGTCTAATACATTTATATCAGCCCTGATAGCTCTGGGGAGCCTCTGTGTCTCACCCAGAAAATGGCTTTTCATTATATTCAACACTGTTTTTTTGTTTTTGTTTGCTAGTTCCAGTTTTACATAGTATTTTGTCTTCTACTGATGCCTGATTGCCTCCTTAGTCCTTCAATTTGCCTTATCTGGTCAGGAACTTAAGCTTCCCAACTGCCTCTGCCATGATCTTCAGTTTGGAAACCATTTGTCACTTTTTTACCTTTGATCCAAGGATACCTCTTGTCCTTTCATTGCTACCCACTCCTCCTAATGCTCCTGGTCAGGTAACATCCTTCTGGCCAGGCTCTCATTGCCCTGCCTCACCAACTTGGCTGCTGGTGTGTTGCAGAAGAAGAGGATGATGGAGATGGAGAGGAGCGCCCACAAGGAATGCGGCCACGCCGTGCCTCGCAACTTAGTACTGCCACCAAAGTCAAGCCTTTGCCCCCGTACTCCAGCTTTTTTATTTTCTCCCACACAAACAGGTATGTTTGTGTGCTACAGCATTAAGGCAGACACTACCAAACCCAAACAATATTTTTATCCTCTTCATCCAACCCCCAAAAAAACAGTGTAACACTAAGAATCATGTTCTTCATGGCTGGAGGTGTACCTAAGGGGTTAATTATCGTCTGTTATTTTCTTTTATTTTGAAAATGAACTGTGTTTTTAAATAATAACAACATTGTAACAAACATCACAAATTGTAAAGCTCATTTTAACCACTATTTTAATTTGTTTACTCCAGCTCCACCTATTACATGATTCTTAGTTAAGACAGGACAAGGCATGGCATCAAATTGGTAATGGGATTTGCCCCAATACTTTATTGCTGATGCTGAAGTTCTTGTTCCTTGTGTACCAACAAATGGTTTCTGTTGGTTTTAGTTAATCCTTAAAGGTCGCATTCTCCGTCATTCTTTTTCTAGAGGGGGACTATGAAGAAACTGAGGGTGAAGATGGAGAGATGATCCAAGTTTCACGTCCTCCCCAAAATGAAAGCAGCACCACTAAACTTCAGCCCATTCCAAAACACTCCTCTTTCTTCATTTTTACCCATACAAACAGGTGATCTTAGAGCCCTCTCTACTACTTCTGTAACTACTGTATCATCTGCTGTATACTACTGCTACTTCTGTAACTCCTGTACTATTGACTATTATACTTTGTGTGCTGAGATGAAGGGTGTTTTGTGTGTAGTATACAGAACTTTTTTGGAAAATAAAAAATGACCCAATGGCATTACTCCATACTGCCTGTGTGTGAATATGAGCAAAAACAAAGCTTGCACTATTGCTCAAGAAATGCTGTATCTATTGTTGAAAAACAAATTTGTATAACTTTTTACCTCAAAACTATTTACTAAGTTTATCAAACTGAATGACATTTTGCCTTCTAGGAAACTGTTTCATTTTATACAAAGTAATTACATATAAAACCCTTGCAATAGACTATGCTAATGCATATTGGAAAATGGAAGTAGTTTATATAGCATTAAGACATATATTCAAATAAAATATGAAATTTTGCCAGATAGTAATTACCTAAGTGTAGTTACAGGATGAGAGCTATGCTCATGGTGTCCAGTCTTCCCAGTATTCTTTGTGATACTGTATAATGATTTGACACTACTAGTGTTTTTAGCAATGTGTTTTCAATTTTATTTATTGCACAGAAATACTAAATAACAGGATTCCACTATGAACATTTTAGTTCTTTTCATTATCCAGATTGTTTTGAATTAAAGTGAATTACATAATGAAACTATAATTCACTTTCAACAAGTGTACCCCACACACAGCTGCACGTGGTGGGTGCCTGGATGTTATAGACTAGTGATGCCACCTTCAGTATGGACTTTGGCCAATATCCCATTTTTATTTTTCTCAAAAGAAAACATACATAGCATCCTCTACTTTATAATTTTGTATTTTATTTGTGTTATACCTAGTCCAAATTTTGCTCATAAATGTGGTGAAATCTTATTATTAGTAAATCTTCCCTGGACAGAATACGAACTCAGGACAAAGCACTTGCGAAACGCCAGGCGAGTGTCTTATCACTACACCACAGGGACTGTTTTACAGAATTATAAATATTAACCACTGTGCCGCGCCAAATGAGAAAACTCGGTCAGTGGGACACTGCGCCAACCGAGAAAACACCTTTTGAATATTTTGTGCCTATTCAAAATGCGTGCGTGGTAGGTTGTGTACAAAACGGACTTTTGGGACCTCCAGTGAGAGGCAGCCATCTTGAAAAAAATTCCCAGAATTCCCAGGGCTGTTGGCTGGGTTAGTATTGACTGAGCAACCTTGGGTGACGCCTCTTGACTCCCAAACACATGTCTGACGTGGTGTTGAAAGATCACTCATTGTTGGTGAAATTCAGGCCTTATTGTTTGAAGAACATAAGGGTCATGATATTGATGAATCTAGGTGCAATAAGGACCTAACACAAAGGTCAGATTTAAGTGATTCAGGACTGATGAGGACCATATAGCGAGCGTATCCAGTTGTAGCTCTGAGCGCCACTCTTGCCCACCCATGCCATCTCCAATTTTTATAGATGATACATAGATGAATCATTTTCTGGGTTCAGTGATGATGCATCTGATACAAGTAGCATAGATGAACCGTTATAGATGTTAACGGCTTCCATGATGATATTTTCCATAGATATTTTTAAAAATAGCTGAATCTTTTCCAGAATGGCTGAATCTCTTCCTGATTGACTGAAACTCTTCCAGAATGACTGAATCTGTTCCAGAGAGGAACCCTACAAAGTGATCTTTTCAAGACTACCTTTCAAATTGATCTTTTCCTATAATCTTTTCAAGACTACCTTACGCTTTACAAGTTTGGCATACATACTACCTATATGTAATAAAGCCAAGGGTGTACGTGAGTACGTTATTTGCAAGCACACAGAATGAAGAAACAGGAAGCGGTAACCTATCTCTACCTGGTGCAATGAGAGCGAAGTCACGCTGTATACCATGAACGGCTTCATTGATTATCACTCACTTCCAAAGTACTGAGTGTGTAATACAGTGTGTTACTGTGTGAGTGTGTTATAGTGTGTGAAACTGTACATATTGTAATTTTAATGAATTTTTAACAAGTAATATTGCGACAATAAACATTTATTGTGGACATATTACTGACACACGTATCACAGTTCCATGGAGCATTATGAATATTCTACTGTAGGGCATAAATATGCATCATATACAATAAAAAAAATGCATTGGAAATACATAGAACAAATAATTGAAAATATATTTGTAGCAACTCATAGTGCTTGAATGGCCCATGCGACCGGGTCTGGGAGGCTTAAGGCACAGGCGCACATTAAACATGCTCCATTTTCCACGTCCCCAGTTTTTATACATGTACGTGTTCAGGGAAGGGAATTTATCATTTTACAAAGATAAAATTTTTTTTTACAAACACTCAAGTTTATGCGCACAAGTGGAATGTCACAATAAACTCGGCACATCACAGTGGTTAAACCATGGGCCTCTAAGGGCCATTTTGCCTTCAACACCCACAGGCACAACAACAAAAATTTCAAAAAATTCTTTCGTCTTATAAAAGTGTTTATTTGTGTTCCCTGGTCACGGGAAAAGTAAAAAAAATTGTAGGTGGCATATTTTGGATGCAATAGAGCGGGAAGTTTGGCAAAAAAAGGTAGTTGACAGAGCAGTCGCCAGATGAGGTCTTCTCCGCCCAAGCTGTCAGGTGAGGGTTACCACAAAGATATTATTACCTAATTATTTCAATGTCTCTGATTTATTTTTACTTTTTTTTGCAGTATTAATAATAATAATAATAAATAATAAATTTTTATTCAGGTAAGGTACATACATACAAGGTAAGATACAAAAGTTAATGTATTTATAGATAGAGCTAGTACATACAATGCCTAAAGCCACTATTACGCAAAGCGTTTCAGGCAGGAAAAACACTAAGACTAAAACTTAATACTAATTGAGATTAAAGCATAAATTGTGTTGAGAAAAAATAAGAAAAGAATGGAAAAAAAGGGGGAGGGGAAACATAGCAGAAAAAAAGCAAAAATACAATTTGGTCAACAAAACAGCATTGTTTAAAATAGAAGACATGGGTTGACATTTTGGGGGTGAGGTAGGAGGTAGGCTAATGGTGCGGGCAACGTCATGGGGCTAATGGTGCGGGCGAGTGTGTGGCGACGCCTAAATATGTATACTCGTTTCAGTTTTCTCATCTTAATTCTCATGATATGTCGTTTGTTTTGGTATCATTGTGTTGCAATTAAATTCCCTGCAGATGTATATGCATATAATGTCCAAAAGCCTGGTGAGACTCCCCACAGCAAAGCCTAAAAATACCCGTGAACGAGCACTAATTTGCACACCACAACCTAATGTTTATACTCGTTCAGTTTGATAACATCAATTTTCATGTTACATTGCTTGTTTTGGTATCAAATTGTTTGCAATATAAAGGCGCACATTGTAAAACTAGTCTCATAATAATAGAGCAATAACTGGAATTTTAACAAATATTTTAATTTTGGACACTCATCATCAAAATTATTTATATCTTTCCAGTGTTCTGACATTAATTTTGATTTTACATCGCTCATTTTGGTATCAAATTGTTCGCAATATAAAGGCGCGCATTTTAAAACTAATCCCATTATAATAGCACAATAAATATAATTTTAACAAATATTTTAAAATTTAAAATTTAGACCCAAAAACGTATTTATAATCTTTCAAGTGTTCTGACATCAAGTTTTGGGTTACATCTTTCATTTTGACATCACCTGGTGCACATTCTAAAGGTGCTTATTTTGAAACTATCCCGAGGTCGATCGGATAAAAAATGAATTTTATACAAATATTTTTGTAGTGGACGTGAGTCCTGCTGACGGCTAGGACTCAAGAGAAAAAAAATGGACGTGATCGGTTTCCAAAGCGAGCGATACTGTTAAGAAGCACATCAACAAACTGGAAAAAGTGCAAAGACATGCTACTAAGTGGCTTCCAGAACTGAAGGGCAAGAGCTACGAGGAGAGGTTAGAGGCATTAAATATGCCAAAACTAGAAGACAAGAAAAAGAGGTTATATGATCACTACATACAAAATAGTAACAGGCACTAGCTTTAGCAAACTAGCTAAACACAGATGCCGAAGAAATATAAGAAAATTTATTTTCGCAAACAGAGTGGTAGACGGTTGGAACAAGTTAGGTGAGAAAGTGGTGGAGGCCAAGACCGTCAGTTGTATCAAAGTGTTATATGACAAAGCGTGTTGGGAAGATGGAACACCATGAGCGTAACTCTCATCTTGTAACTACACTTAGGTAATTACACTTGGGTAATAACAGATTCAAGTTAAGAAAACAGAGGTGCCAAATAAATATGAGAAAATTTTCTTTTGCAAACAGACAGGTAGACAGTTGGAACAAACTGAAGGAGAGGGTGGTGGAGGCCAAAA